TTAAAACTCACTTTAAAGGACAATAAAAAGTAGGTTCAAAATGATTACTTTTAACATATTAAAAATCAAAATCAACAATAATTTGAAAACAATTCATTTTAAATATTATATAATGTATAATTAAAAGAATTACTAATCTGGGTATATTTAAGGAAATAGAAGTTGATGTTGCTTTTGTNAAAGAAATAAGAGTTCATGTTGCTTTTAAAATATTTCATCAATTTTTTAAAATTAAACACTGTCTACAGATTTGCATCGAAGCGTTTCTTATGATAGTGATTTTAATCACTGTCAGATATCATCTATACTCGTCCCATCTATGACTCGTCCATACTGTGCCGCGACCCCACTGTGCTACCGTTTTTTATTTTTATAATTTCTGTTCTGCGTTAAGTGTTGTTAAGTGTTATCAAAAATGAACAAATTAGTGTAATTTTTTCTTATACAGATGCATGTCTTTACCTATCATTTGGTTTTTTATACGTCTGACCATTTACCTTTGAATCCCTCTTGTGGGCAAGTCCACAGGAGGGATTCAAAATGACTTCAAAAATCTTAATGATGAATGTATTTTGCTGTCAAAAATTATTATTTTAAGAATTACTAACCATTATACTATTATTAGACATAATTCGTTTTGTATAGTATCACTGTAGATGCATCCTCCTGTTGATTCGTGTGTGCGTGTGTGTTAATATCCTTTTTGTCAGCCATTTAATATAATATATGGCCGTTGAATTTGTTAAATTTATTTGCAACACTCGCAAGTGTACTTGTAATATTTTTTTTTGGATTACTGTGTGTTTTATATTTATTTATAATTCCAAATGTCGTCTACGAAACAACCGATGAAGTTTTCCAAAGTAAGTTCTTGTATTATTCACCAACTATAATGTATGAAAGTTGGGTTTCAATTTAATATCACTAATTTTGTTTTCATTTACACTTGGACTAAATCATATAAGTGATGGGTTATTGTTATTTTCTTAGAAAGTAAAGATTATAGCGTTGTACCTATTAATTGGCTTATTGCTACGCCACTGAGTGAAATATCAATATTAAATTTATCAGATGTACAATTTTGTCGTTGGCCTCCCTTTAAGGTTACAAGCGTTGAACTTTTTAAAGCTGATGATCCTGGGAATTTATGGTCTTCATTCAAGATAAAAATATTGAATAATAAAATATATAGTCAGTACTTAGTATTTTTATATAAATTTTAAAACTTTTTATTATGTTAGAATTTATTAAACAAACAAAATGAACTTTATATCGGGTCTTGTAATTCAAATTTTAATTGTTTTTGTTTACTTAGCAAATCTCAAAGAAGCATGGCATCAACATGTCGAAATTTAAATCTCTGCTACAGAAAATGAGTGTGATGCACCAAAAAGAAAAAATATTAAAGTAGTTTATCTGATGATAGTGATTTTGAAGGTAAATCTATTATTTTTATACTTCTATTTTTTATTTGAAAATAAGATATTATTACAATATTCTATTTAGAGTGTAGCTTAGCAGTAACGCCGATCATTAAAACACGTATCATGAAGTTTCACTGAATTATTGACAAGGAAGTTTGATGAAGATTTAGAGTATGAACTACCATCTAGAACATCACATGCTATACAAATCGTAGCTAGTTCGTCAGCATCATGCATACCCAATAACTTAGATTATGAACTACTTCCTGTATCATCACCTGTTGTACAAAACACTGATAGTTCCTCAGCATCATGCATACCTTATATTGTTGTAAATAAGGATATATAATAGCCATTTTATCTAATTTAAGTACAGAAATAATTCAATTTCAATTTGAAAACTTAAATATTATGTTATAATGTAATATATTATATCTATAATCCATAAATCCAAATCTATTATCAGTATTATATCCAATATCCAGCGATCTTTATGTACATTAAATAATAACAATAATATTAATATACAGAGTGTTCAATAAGTTCGTAAACACCGATTTTTAAGAGCCGCTTTTGATTTTTATTTTAGAAGCTTATTGAATAATTAAATGCATCTTTTACGATTAAAATTAAAGTTCAACCCTAATGCAAAAGGGTAGAAATCTATCCTAACTTAAGAAATTTAAATGGCAACCATTATTTTTTTTTTAATTTTCGGTTAGGAAATTTTATTTATAACAAAAGTACTTTTAAAATTTTAAAATTGGACAAGTCATTTTTGAGATTTTGTTGTTTAAAAGCATCAATTTTGAGTTTGGAAGCACATTTTGCCACAGTAAAAACTAATCAATGTGTAATTCCGTAAACACAATAATCATAAATTGCCTGATTATTGTTACTTGGTTTATCTTAATGATCGTATTTGAACATGAAACGATCAATAAATATTATTAAATTGATATTGTACCTTATCAATGGAATTATTAAATATCAATAAAAATAAGATTTACGATAGCATTTTTTTCACGTTTACAAGTGAAAGTAGATAGTTGTTGAAAAACATGTGTGTTATCAAATTAAATATTTTAGTCAATTATAACCAATTATACGTTGTTATTCGTCAAAATGATTTTAACACGTCTTTATCATTTTGCGGCATGAAAATTTAAAGGTTCTGTGTCAGATATTTTCATGTTGACTTTTTAATTTTTTATTCTTTTTAATCAATATTATTTATAATAACTATTGTAATATTATCATGTTGTGCTACATTTTTTTTATGGAGCGTTTTTAATTCATGTAGTTTAATTGTATTTTAACAAACATAATATTATGAGGTTGTCGTGTTATGAAAAATATCACATACTCTTCCTTACACCGGACATATGATACTAGATCAATCACTACTTTTCTACATAAATAATTCATTATGTAATTAATTTAGTACTTGACTTAGAATGTTAATATTATTACTTTCAAAGTTACTAAGCTTGCAATATGTATTTTTTTTTTTTTTTTTATTAAAATCAATAATATTAAAAACCAAAAAGTTTTACCTATAGAATCTTATTGCTCTGTAAGCAACATTTTGTACGCTTTTAGTTTTTTCAGATTGATTTTTGTTTTAATGATTAATTATTAAATAATGCACACATTGTTTCTAATTTTGTTTTCGAATTATTCACTAAAATAGTTTTAATTATAGGACGTGCGCTTTAATTTTGCGTTCATTTTTCTGTTGCGCATTGCATCTATTAATTTTAAATACGTATTTCTAAGATAAATCCATAAAAAATCTGCATGTATATGAAATTAGTCAGATAAATATTTAGATAATTCACTACTTAATAATTCAACTACTATTCTGTTGTGATGGAACATCGTCCAGATGCATGTAATATCTTATTATATTACATTGGGCTTACTCAATTTTATATTTTAAGTAAAATGCACGATTTATCAATTTAAAAAATAAACAAATTTCTCGTCATTTTTAATAAGAAATTAGTATTTCTATGGAAACAGAATTAGTCATAAAAAATATTTAAGAGAAAAATACAATTGAAATAAATAGCCTGTAAATATATTGATGATATTTTAAAATATATTTAAAAAGTTACTAACCTTATACAATGAACAATAATTCTGATCCTTTAATATAGTAAAACTTAGTTAAAGAGGATCTAAAGAAATTTTTTTTTAATTGATATTTTTATTCATAATAATAATAATTACAAATATTATGCATAAATTTACCAATGTTTTTCAAATACATGTTGTAAAAAATCTGTTGCTTATTGGAGTTAAAAAACCCAAAATAACACATTATTTTTTAAAAACATATGAAAAAATATTGAAAGATAAAATAGAAAAAATTCAAAAAGAATATATATTTAAATTGCATAATTTATTAGCTTGCGAAGCTGCGAAGGTATTGGTTTTACTATGATGTGTTTTTTTTTTTTTTTTTTTT